TTCAGCACCTCCCAGACGACGATTACAAGACCTACGGGACTCAGCACCTCCCGGACGACGATTACAAAGTCTACAGCAGCGTGATACAGAACACCCTGGTCGAAGCGAAGAAGATTGGTTACGCGGTTACAAGTACCGACAGCGGGATTTAATAAATCCCGGGCAACGAAGTGAAGATTGAAGTCTCCCGGAACCCTAGTAGACCTCCGAAAGAGTCCCTGGTATCCTGGACGCCTTGCCCACGAGATGAGATTTTGTACGGCATCTGGACGATTTGTCTTCGCCGGAGCTCAGACTTAAGAAGGGGAGAATGTCACGGGGTGGGATTCGGACGTTCCGGATCTCCCGATCAGACTCCGGATCTCAGGGACCTAGATTATCTATTAGTCTACCTCTTCTCCTGAGCTAAATCCACTAACTCGACTTTACATTTTGCCTCGAACCTCACACTTGGAGCGTGTTCTCTCTGCTTGCCTGCGCCGCGCCTGCCTGTCAAAATGTCGCTAAACCCCGTGACATTCTGGTGGAGCAGCAGGGTAGGCGTTTGCAAAGGAAGTTGAGAAGAGAAAGGCAATATGTCGCCAGAAGGCCCAACAACAAAGACGATATGTATTCAAGACTGGCTTGCGGGAGGCGTCCGAGGGAGCGACTACTACGTACGGGAAAACTCGACTCCGGGGCGCTCAGCACCAAAACCATCTCGGACATACCTTCCGGGAACATGCTCGTGTTTGAAGAAACCGGCGCTGGCAATGGTGGCAGACTTGTCTCCCCAAGCCGGAATCGGTTTCGAGCGTTGTTGGCCCAACGAAATGACTTTTGAGCGCAGTTCGCAACCTATCCGAGCTCCCGGGTCCGCCTCCTTGGTCCAACCTTGGTCCAAGAGGTATACGGGGGTATGGTTCCGGCACTGCTCACCCGGAACGACCTCGAAGAAGTCCGGAGCTTCGAAAGTAAAAATGAAACCCCCCACAAGACATTGAGGGACCTGGATACAGCTCTTCAGGAAGAAGTTCGCCAACGGCATATGATGGAACGACTCCGGGATGACGAACACCAACTACTCCGGAACAGCAAAGGGACTATCCGGGAGCTCCGGGAGATATTGTCAAACGAGCAGTCACGATATGAGCAAGCCCTGTTCAACGAAAAACGTCGCCGGGAAGACCTGGAACAGTCGATGCAAGGGTCATTCAGGTCCGTGACCCAGGAACATGTCCTGGTGAACGAAGCCCGGAAATATCTGGAAAAAGGAAGGAGTGCGAACGAACGCCTACGGCAACCGACGAGAAGAAGCGCGAGCTCTTGTGGACGCTAACAGTGCTCTGCTCCGGGACGAGGAAGTTCGTCTACGACAAGAGAAGGCGGCTCATGAATCAAACATTCATCGGGCTTACGAGGAATTGGAACGTCAATGGACCCAAATACAAGTGGAACGGAGTGTATTGGACCTACAACAACAAGCCCATCGATTTAGAAACTTTTTCCCTGAAGCTCCCAGTGTGACGTCGGTACCATCCTGCCAGAGCTCTCCCTCAACATGCTCCACGGTCCCCACGGACGCTCATATATCCACCCCGGGATCTCATCCATCCACACCACGAACGTCGGACTTGCCCCGTTTCATGCAACATACGGAAATCGTAAGGGAGTCGGCTGCGCCAGGGGTACCGCCTTCGTTTCTCGTCCAGGAGTCCGCGCATCAGCCATTTATGCCTCTGGGCGCACCTCAGTCTCAGCCCTACCGGGGCCCTTACAGTACTTCGGGAAAAACGCTGATTTGCGGAGACCCGGATGATGAAACGAAATCAGGCGAAGTGATCTGCGGGATATGCAAAACAAGAGGCCACCCCCGCGAGGAGTGTCCCCGGGAGAACTGGTATTGCACTCGCTGCCGTTGTCAGGGGCACGCTCTATTGGAATGTGGGCTTCCCCGGACGGATGTTCCTGGAGGACAAGATACCCGTTATACTTGTGGGGAACTTGGCCATTTTAGCTGGGGATGTCCAGTAACTACGGAGCGTCACTCGCCGCCTCAGCACGGCCTGGCTCCTCTTCAGTCCGGAGAACATTCGGAGACCAACGGAGACAATGTGCCCGGAATGGATCACTGT